TAGCCTATCCGTTCGAAATGTTTGGAGTCCCGAAGAGCGTACTCTTCGCCGGGGCCACCACCTCTCTTGGGTAGCGTGTGATGCGGTTGTTGTTGCTGTTGCTTTTATTGTTTTTGTTGCTCTTGTTGTTTTTCTTTCAATGTCAAGGAGCAATTGTACTTTGCAAACAATATCGGTCACTTCCGGTACTAAGAGTGTGACTTTCCTTCTTCTCCTTGTTTTGTACCCTCATTGAAATAACTTAAATGATTTAGGAGGTAGGCTACTTTGACCCAGAGTGTGTGTCAGAGCCAATCGAACTGGATGGGAGGCAGTATCCCAAAAAAGACAGTTTGAAATAATGGAAAATGAAGGAAGAAAACAAATGAAGAAACACAGAGACAAAATGAAGAAGGAATAAAGTGAAAAAAGTTAGATCCGGCTGAAGAAATGTAGAAAGGTGTGAATCAAGAAGAAGTAGATCTCCGTGTTGGTTGTTGTACCTATGGGGAATACGCATCCGCGGCTCCGGGCCCAGGACAGGGGACGGACCTCTGGGTGGGGAGGGCATGCCCACAGCGAAAGGATTGTGGGAGGTCATCTCATTTGACGTCAGCAACATGTCCAGTAGGTTGAGGATGAGGTCAGACCTCTCGAGGACGTAGAGACTGCGCACAGTCAGTCGGAGGACGGGGTAGAACTGCGGCTTGGCGATAAGGCGTTGGACGAAGCCCTCCGAATCTCGGTCCGACTGCAGGTAGCGGCACACGCGGTTTGACGCCAGGTAGTCCCTGATGCAACGGCTCGTGAAGGACACGATCTCGCCGCTGGTTTGGCTTGTTTGGCTTAAGGATGGCCGCGGAGAGATACTTGGTTTCTTGATCTCCAGAGACAGAGTTTTTGGTCTCTCGTTGGCTTTTTTTATGTTGTCCGAGCTTTTTAGAGACGGAACCTGAAGAAGCGCGCCTGACGACGAGTTTCCGGATGCATCCGTTGCGGGGTCGGTTTTCTCGTGGTCTCCGGCGGACGCTAGGCTCTGGTTGCTAGAGCTGACGTCAGAGGACATGTTGATGTCAAAGTTGGATGATGCACTGCTGTGCACAGAGTCGCTGTCCGGTGTGATGCAAGGGTTCATGAGCACCGGAGAGGGAGGACGCTCGTGGATGGACCCGAAGTTAGCGATCTCGTGCACTTCGTGAAGCAGACGACAGTCGCATAAATGTCGCGTCCAGAACTGCTGGGGAAACTTCTGCTTTGAGAAGTAGTTCGTGTCATTCTCAAGACACTCAAAGGCGACAGTCTCGCACACATTGAGCAAGGAGAAACGCCGCCTGCGACCTTTGTTAGCTTTATCTACAACCTTCTGGGTTGTGTTGGTCTCGTGCGCCATGGCGTGATGGATGAGGTGTTCCAGAAGCTCCGATAAATGTTCGGGGATGTTATCATCATCTTTGACGCTCCGAAAATATGCGGAAAGTAGAGACAGACTCAGCGGATTGCAGAGTAGTTCTTGTGTGTGGCTTGAGTTGAGAAGAAAAGATATTCTGTTTTCGACTGTTGGCGCTTCGGAACGTAGTCTCGAGAGAAGGACTCGAGAGCTGTAGTCCGGTGAAAGACCGTAGCAATAGAAGAGCGAGTCCACGTCGCGTTTGGAGATCCGTCCCGGTGTTGCTGCCGCAATCATTTTGCCGAATCCGTCTCGGTCGTGAAACGCGTCGGATATGAGCCTCTCCCAAGCCTCCGATCCGTCCACGTTGTCGAAAATGATGCATATATCATCGCGGTTAGCGAGCACCCAGTGGTAAACGGCGTCGAAAGATAGAGGATGATGTGGCACGTCGCTTAACGTGAGTAAATCGAGTAGCACAGACGTGGCTACGTAATAATGTCGGACCCGAGAGTTGTTACAACGGGTGAGTAACTCGCTGAGCGCCAGCCGGACACAGGGCACGTAGATCATGGCTTTGTAGTCCGTCAAGTTACTGGTCAGCCGGGACGGCCTCTGACGTCGTGGCTCGCGGAAAGTTCTCGACTTTGCCACACCCGGAGATTCGAAACTTCCCTCCCCCGGAGAAGCGATGTTCAGCAAAGACAGATATTTTTGTGGTATGCCGTCGTATTTGCCTTTTTCTCGTTTCCGAGTTTTGCTTTCTGTCTCGGCGTCTCCACTACTTCTACTCCTACTTCCCTTACGAACGCTCTTTTTCCCTGTGGAAGACCCATCCCCACCAGTCGCGTTCAACTCATTGCCTGAGTTCTTCTCCTTTAGTTCGTCAAATCGTGACTTTCTTGATCGGTTATTCTGTTCATGCGTTGTTCGTTTGTCCTCCCCATCAGCAGAGGTTTGGGTTTTTACTTCTGAACTTTCACCTTTGTTCAGTTTAGTGTCCTTAGGATTGCTTAAGTTGGCGTCATGACTTTTGCTTCGGCTCATACCCTCAGGCAAAGAAAGCCCATCACCATTTCCAGTAGCTTCGCTACTTGTGCTTGTGTCTATAGCTCCAAGGTTCCATTCTCTTTTTGGTCTTCGGATATCTTTTGCTACCTCTTCATCTAGATTCGGATCTGGGAATGAAAAGCATAGATCTTGTTAGCTTTACAGATGTCACAGGTGGAAAAAGAATGGAAAGAATAAAGGACCCCTCCCCCTCCCTAAATCAGCGAACGTGTTAGTGAACACTGATACCAAGCGATTTCTTTGAGCAGCTTCATTAGAAGAATAGAAAACTATTTTTTTAAAGGTTTGAAATGTTTAAAAAACCCAAACGGTTTGCTGATATTAAGATCGGCTTGTGGAATTATCACCGCTGATGTACCTTTTAATCAATCAAATAAATCATGTTTCCGTTTCTCTTAATCGGTGGATTTCTGCAGCTGGTTGTAAACATTGGAATTTAAAAAAACACCTAAAAACGAAAGCAAAAACAAAAGCATTAAGAAAAACCACCAACAAAAATTGACGCACACAAAATAATGCTTGAGGCCGGTTCTCTCAAGCAGGGACAACATATTTGAACGGGAAGCAGCATCCCAGCAAAAATGTGGAAATACTGTACAAAATAACCTCCAGGGAGAGCATTGACCTCAAGTCTTCAGCTAAAAACGACAAAGAGCCTAAAAATAAATCCTCAGACACCTGCGTTGCAACATAATAACATAATGAAGAATAAAACAACAGAATCCAATTAGAGTGTATAAGTGATCAATAGAACAACAAATTTCTTGTAAATTATCGTGGTCTGTACTTCAAGTCAAAAGATTTTCTGTCCATGAGTCATGGCGCGCACAATTTCTCAGACCAAAAGGAAAGCTATAATATAAGATTGCAACTGAGATTATTCCATGATATGGTGCGGCGTAGTAATGTACGGGGTTAACGTTTCATTCAAAGATGTACGTCTGTTTAAAAAACGGGAACTTTGATTGTATCACCCTTTAACGCTAGGGTCAAGGAAAATGGGTAAGAGACATGAAAACCATAAACCATTGAAGTCTCTAAAAGATCTGGAGGGAATTCAAATCCAGGTGGTATGTAGTGGGGGAAGGGTAAGAGTGATTGTATTGGGGCAAGGGTAAGTGTGATATGTATGGGGGGGGGAAGGTGGTATGAAGTGGGAGAGGGGGTTACGAGGGCTGTCCCACGGAAAACCGGAAAAGGTCCGTAAAAGCAAAAATCTTTGTCCTATTATAATAAAACTGTAACACATCATACCTCAACATGTGCTTTATTTCTCAATGTAATCACCATACCGCTGGACACATTTTTC